GCTTAATTAAGTTTCGATTAAGGGGCCACATTATAGGAACACATTTATAAAATAAACATAGGAACACATTTATAAAATAAAACATAGAAACACATTTATAAAATAAAACATAGGAACACATTTATAAAATAAAGCATGTTTTCTATCTTTTCAATTTACAACTGTTTACTTTTGTTTCCGTTTTCAGCGGCTAATGACTTCGATGATCTCATGCACCTGCTCGAACAGGCCCGAAACATTGTTAACGAGGGTATGTTTGTGTATGCCGCCTCCGTAGCCGTGCTTCACCGTGATGACTGTAGGGGCGTTACTGTTCCACCAATAGAGGAAGTGTTCCCCGACAGGTTCATCGCCTCCGAAACTATTCGACACGCTGATAAGGAAGCAACCATTAATCCCGATAAGGTAACCATTACTTCAGAACCAAGATAAGCCAAACAGGGTTAATCTGATTAACTCTGTGACGTCACTGCCATTCAGAATCTAATTAAGATGTGTTACTCTTCTTTTAGAATTTGTATGGCCCCTTAATTCATAACTCAGTTTAGCTACGTGACCCTTCATTTACAACTGAATTATACTGTATGGCCCTTTAATTCATAACTCAGTTTAGCTACGTGACCCTTCATTTACAACTGAATTATACTGTATGGCCCTTTAATTCATAACTCAGTTTAGCTACGTGACCCTTCATTTACAACTGAATTATACTGTGTGGCCCCTTAACGAAACTTAATTAAGCTACGTAACCCTTCATTCACAACTGAATTATATTGTTTTATTTTATAAATGTGTTTCTATGTTTATTTTATAAATGTGTTTCTATGTTTTATTTTATAAATGTGTTCCTATGTTTATTTTATAAATGTGTTTCTATGTTTATTTTATAAATGTGTTCCTATGTTTATTTTATAGATGTGTTCCTATGTTTATTTTATAAATGTGTTTCTATTCATCAACGAACGAAAAACTAATTTATATTGTATGTTTAGTATTATTCTGAACACTACTAGTACATGCTTTATTAGGTATAAATGTTTGTTTATTTTGTTGTTATGCGCAAAATTACACAGTGAGCTATCTATGCTGTGCCCTCCACGGGTATCGAATCCCAATGTTTAGCTTTAGGTATAAAATGGGTAATTTAAAGTACGTTTCTTGATATCTACTTTAACCTATGTCCCCCGGTAGGTGAGCAGTAATTTAAGGGATTTATAACGCTAAAATTCAAGGTTCGATTTCCCGCGTGTGACTTTGCGCTAAAACAAACTTCTTCATATGAGTACCGTACATCGTAAATGCTATACACATTTTCACGCAGAAGATACACCAAATTATGATAACCTTTGAAATTAAATTTAAAAAAACCGTTTCCCCCCAGTGGCTCAGCAGTAAGTCTGAAGGCTTATAACACTAAAAAACCGGGTTTCGATACTCGTGGTGGGCACAGCACATATAGCTCATTGTGTAGCTTTGCGCTTAACAACAAACAAACAAACAATAAAAAAACGTTTTTGTTGTGCAAAAAAAAATTATATAAAAAATGTAAAATTTGACAGTTTCAAAGATTAGAATAGTTATAACAAATCTCACGCAAGACAAATCTATTAGAATTAAAACCTACTCTCTTTTGTACAGTACTCTGCAACTGTGGTGCGCAAACTGTGTTTATGGCGCCTCGCCATCATTTTCCCATGTTAATTTTATTTCTACGTTACTTGATAGTAGTAATATTTGTACGGTACTGTTTTAAAAACCACTTTATTTTTAAAATTTAGTTTCAGATATAACTTATGTGCTTCAAAAGTCACAATTGTGCTTCCCACCCCCCTTACTGGATCTTCGCGCCTCCCTTGGGCACCATGTCAATGGAATGAATGTGATACGCCTTGTTTTCTGATTTGCTATTGTCCGGGGATACTTACGAGAGGCAGAATTTCACGAAACCGATGTAGCCCAGAAAAAAAAGTGGCAAATCGGAGAATGTCTAGGCTTCACGTTTTTCTCTCTCGCCGAAAGTTACAATTTGGTTAGTTGTCTGTCCCTCAAAATAAACGATACAAACTCGAGTCCACTGACGAGAAACATTTAAATATAAAGAAACAAAATCACTGATGCCGAAATTCCGCATAATACTACAGAAAGATTGCCACAAACCACTTACCATATAGAATTTCATACAAATGGGTGGCTTCTTTCAGATGTTTGGCGTGGAACAGCGAAAAGAGGTGGCCCCTGGGCAGATGGCCGACGTCTTTGAGACGGACATCTCTCTTCTCTACTGCAAGTTGACTCCTTGGCAAGCTGGTCAAGTGCTCGAAGAGGGGGAGCAGACGACTCTGCTTTTCCTTCACTGTCATCGTTAGTCAGCTAGAGAGCGTGAACTGGCCCCCGTAATCTGGATTCAAAGTGACGTGCGACCCTCCTGTCCTTTTTCACTCATGACTGTCGTCTTTTATACTGGCACTGTTTTCCAACTAGGGCCCCATTCCTGGAAGTATTTTCTTCGGATCTACATTCACTAAGAACAGTGCTAGAAAAATATTGTCTCGTTAGAGAAAGGGAGTGGTTTCTACACTGAACCCGATTTAGAAACCGGACTACTACGGCCTCTCAGGAGCTACTATTACTAAGAACTTCTGAGTCAAAGTAAAAAAGAGTATATAATACTACATCTGCTGTACCCAGAAGCCGACATTGCCTTTCATCTAACACCAGTACACTTCAGGCCAGATGTGTTAATAACTAGCTAAATAAGGAACGAGGACACTAGATCAATACAAATACACACCATTATATGTATAGTGTTTTTAGTTGCACATTACTAGTCGCCAACCGGATGACGGACTGGACGTTAATTTTTTACGTATTTATCATTTGCACATTACCCAGAAGAACCAAGCACGTGAGTATGTGATGAACAGACAAACGTTACTGAATACAACATAACATAAGTTCCACATTTATTTTGTTCGATTTCCGCGTCTCTGTTAACTGTGAGAATTACTAAACCTAAAAATATATTTTGTAGAAGAATAAATGATGCACTGAGCATTTCTGCTTAACCAGGGTGCGATTTTTTTTTATGGAGGCGGAT